GGTCTTGATAACAATCCACCCCAAGGCTCCTTTGTGTGCTTTCACCGCTTCAATCAGTTTTTCTTCTTGTCCTACAGTAAGAGAAGATGAAATAATTACTGGAAATTGTTCTTCCTCAAGATAAACATATTTTATATGAGATGGGAGAACTTTGAGATCAATTTTTGGTTGAACTTGTTCTAGTTGTATCTCCTCATCTTCTGAATCTTTTTCTAGTATTTCGGCTTCTCTTCTGTTGATAGGATCATCATCTTGTATTGTGCCAGATTTGGCCAAACATCTTTCCATTGAGTCTGGAATTAATTGATCATCTTTGAATTCATCTGTAAGATAATTAAGCATGTCAATCGAAAAACACCAAGATGATGTCACATCTCCTGAAAATCTTAATATCTTTTGCGTATCAAAAATGACTCTTTCTTCATCAACTCTCAAAATTAGTTGTCCTTGATGGACATCTATGATTGCTCTACCTGTGGCAAGAAATGGTCTACCCAAAATGATTGGTTCATCGGGACATTCCTTCATTTCAAGTACTATAAAATCTACAGGGAAAACAAACTTATCTACTCTTACGAGCACATTTTCAATTATTCCCTTAGGTTTCTTTGTACTTTAATCTGCAAACTGAAGAGAAACACTTATGTCTTTCATTTCATCAAGATTTAATTTTCTAAAAATAGAAAATGGCATCAAGTTAATTGAAGCTCCAGAATCACAAAGTGCTTTTTCAAAATATACTTCTCCCAAAGTGCATTGAATTGTAAAACTACCTGGATCACCAAGTTTTTGTGGTAGCTTATTTTGAAGTATAGCTCTGCATTTTTCAGTAAGCATCACCACATAAAATTCTTCCAATTTCCTTTTACTTGACAAATTTTTTTTAAAAACTTATGAAGGCATTTTCAATAAAGCATTAGTGAACGGAATATTGATGTGAATCTGTTTTAAAATCTCCAAAAATTTTGCAAATTGACTATCAAGCTTTTCTCTTTTCAGTTTTTGTGGTAAAAGGAATTGTCACGGGGTAGAGGTAGTTAATTTTTCAATATTCTTTTCTTCTTTTTTTACTTTAATTTACTTTCTTCCTCTTAATGGTTTCAGTATGGTTTTTTGTACATTCTTTACCGATTGTTTACCTGTTGTTCTGGNCGGGACAGCACCCGGTAGATTCCCCTGTACTGGATATATACTTTGGGACTACGTATCGGTATTCCGGTAGATTCTCCTACACATTTACATTTGGGACTACAGGACGATATCCTGGTAGATCCCCCTGTTGCTATTTCTGTGTATTGAGTTATATTCTTTCTGTGCTTTTATTCTTTATCGATTGTTAGTGCTTTAATCATACTGCTTTTTATATATATATATATATATATATATATATATACCAGTAGGGCCCTGACCTTCCTCGTCACTACTCGATTGAGGTTAGGCTTGGCACTTACTGGGCACCGCCGTGGTGTACTCATGCACTTTCCTGCACATATTTTTCGTGTGCAGATCCAGGTTCTTCGGCTCCGCCATACCGTCAGTGAGGCGAGGCGATCTTCAGAGACTTTGAGGTATATCTGCCGCGTCCGCAGACCGAGGAGACCCTCTCCATTCCCTCTTTTAGCTATAGATCTTTTGTATTTACTTTTGACTAGACATTCTAGAGTTAGAGCACTATGTAGTATTCTCAACTTGTGATTTCATGAGATTCCGGATTTTGGGAGTAGATTCAGTTTTTGAGAGTATGTATTGGTATATGCCGAGCATCATCTTATACGTTTTATTACTATTTATCCTCAATTTTTATTTGTTTCACATCTCGTTCCTATCCGCAAATTGTTAGGCTTACCTAGTCGTAGAGACTGGGTGTCGTCACGACAGTTCAGGGAGGTCGAACTTGGGTCGTGACATCAGTGATGATTGTTATGGGGTTGAGAGGATTGATGAGAGTCACTGCTGTGCAGATGATGGTTAGTTCTGTGGTAGAGTGAGGGTGTTGGACAGACAAAGAAAGATGCACTTAGATAGACGCACAAACATAAGGAAAAAGGACCAGAAGGAGCAGCTACCCCACTCTATTATTAAAAAACAAATTTTCTAGTGATAAAATTAAATGGCAACTCAGATGATAGACTTGGGTAAAGATAAAATCACTCCTATCAAATGAGAAGAGGGAAGGGAGGGGGGTTAGAGTCAGTATATATGTGAGTGACTTTATCATTTTCCTTTCAACTTTCACTTCATAACTGTAAGGTTTCAAGTGCTGCATCTTAATTTTGTGTCATAAAAACATACAGATATAACCTTTACATGTTGTGTCATTGAAGCAGGTATTAATGGAGGAAACAAACAACCCTTTTATCTTACTAAATAAAATACTAGAAGAAAATAATTTAACTTCTGATAAAAGAAGTGAAAATAACAACTATTGTATATAGAATCAGTGTAACGACCTGCTTTAATAAGTAAAAACTGCAACTGAAAATTTCCAGCATAAGTCTATACAAGCTAAATCCGAATATGAAACTGGAAAAACACAACTAAAGTCGTTGGTGCTTCCCTCTTTTGATCTACTTATATTTCTTTCCAAGTTTTTCCTGATCACACCCTAATTTTTGTGTGTTCTTTGTGTCTTTGTTCCCCTACATTGTTATTATAATACAGTCAGACCTCTCTATAACGTTGTTGTCTGTTCATAATAGTTGTTCTCTTGAATGGTAAATCTTGAATTGTCGTACCGGGATTTTTCGAACCAAAGTTTGATTTACCATCCCAAAACTTTTCTAATAAATTTTTATATTATTTCCCTGTAGCATTGTTGATGTTGCTGGATAACACATGATGAATTTAGACTGCTTTTGGTGTAAGCGATTTAACTATTGCTAGTTTAAAATTTATATATATATGTTATTTTACCAATAGTATTTATCATCTTTTCAAACTTTTCAGGTTATGAAGATTGAAGCTACAAGTCAAGATGCAAGTTTAGAAGATGCACGAGCTCATTATTATTTTTCTAAGACTGTTATGCAAAACTTGATATCATCATAGTCTAGCTGAAGATGTTAGCTAAGTTTTTTTTATTAAGATGTTGACCAAATATAGAAAGTATCATCATCATAGGATATGAACTTGATATATTGTCTTTTTGTATCTAGATTTTTCAATACCAATTTGATATTTATTGGTATTAATATATTTTGATGGCATTGAGCTTTAGGACTATTCATGGTTAATAAGAGACCATGAATATGAATGCTAAATAACAAAATTATTTTAAATAGGGACCTCGTCTGTAAAACATAATCTAGGACCAGTTAAAGGTTGGTCGCTAAAATGGTTTAACGATTGGAATGACAAGATATGTAGTCTAAAAGTATTTTACGATCAGATTTTTTGCCCTTCTCTAAAAGTTAATTTGTGACCAGTTAAAGGTTGGTCGCTAAAAGGTTTAGCGACGGAAATATAGATATTCGTCATCGTCTATTAGGGACGAGATATGTAGTCTCTAAAAGTATTTCACGACCAGAATTTCTCCTGGTCTCTAAATCTATTTAACGACCAGGTTTTTAGACCCGTCGTTAAAGGTTTTTGTGGCGGAGGCTATTACGACGGGTTACGACCAGCTTTTCCCCGTCGTAATATACCCTTTTGGGACCAGATTTGGGCTTTTAGGGATCAGATTTTCCTTCCTTAAAGGCCTTTTTTCTTGTAGTGGATCAAGAATAAGTACCCCCTCCAGAGGATTAATGATTTATTTGATCAGTTGCAAGGTGTCAAGTGTTTCTCGAAGATGGACTTGAGGTCCGGGTACCATCAAGTAAGGGTTAAGGAGAAAGATATTCCGAAGACAGCATTCAGGACCAGATACGAGCACTTTAAGTTTCGTGTTATGTCATTCGATTTGACTAATGCCCCAGCAGTATTCATGGATTCGATGAACCGTGTGTTCAGACCCTTTTTTAGACATGTTCGTAATTATATTTATTGATGATATATTGGTGTATTCTCATTCAAAGACTGAGCATGCAGTTCATTTTCGTACTGTGCTCAGAGTTGTACAAAAAGGAAAGTTGTACGCAAAATTCTCTAAATGTGAATTCTAGCTGAACTCTGTAGCTTTCCTTGGGCATATTATCTCGGGTGAGGGTATCAGGGTTGATACACAAAAGATTGAGGCAGTAAAGACTTGGCCTAGACCCACGACACCGACGGAGGTTCGTAGTTTTCTCGGTCTGGCAGGTTATTACAGGAGATTTGTAGAGGGATTTTCTTCTCTTTCGGCACCATTGAGAAAGTTGGCTCAGAAGGGAGATAAGTTTCAATGGACCGATGCTTGCGAACGGAGTTTCCAGGCATTGAAGGATAGACTAACTTTAGCACTGGTTCTAACACTCCCAGAGGGAACCGATGGTTATGCTATCTATTGTGATACTTCGGGCGTCGAATTGGGTTGTGTACTGATGCAGCATGGTAAGGTTGTAGCTTATGCTTCTAGAGAACTAAGAAAGCACGAGAAGAATTACCCGACCCACGATTTAGGGTTAGCCGCGGTGATTCATGCACTAAAGATGTGGAGGCACTACTTGTATGGCATTCATGCTAATATCTATACAAATCATGAGAGCCTCCAGTATGTCTTCAAGCAAAAGGAATCGAACTTACGTTAAAGGAGATGGTTGGAGCTACTTAAAGACTATGACGTTGATATTTTATACCATCCGAGGAAGGCGAACGTAGTAGCCAACGCCCTTAGCCGTAGATCTATGGGTAGTTTGTCATATTTATAGCCAGAGAATAGGGGAATAGCCCATGAGATTCATCAGCTAGCTAGTCTTGGGTTCGATTATTGGATTCAGGTGATACCAGAATTACTATTCAGGACACGACAACATCCTCTTTAGTAACTGAAGTGAAGGAACGCCAATACGAGGATCATGTGTTAGCTCATTATAAGAATACAACCTCTCGGAAGGAGAAGACACTGTTTGAGATTACATAAGATGGGGTCCTCAGATATCGAGGACGATTATGTATCCCTAATGTTGCAGGACTACGTCGGCAGGTCATGGGAGAAACTCATTATTCTCGTTATTCTATCCATCCAGGAGGAACATATCAGGGAAATATATTGGTGGGATGGAATGAAAAAGGATATAGCAGAGTTTGTTGCTAAGTGCCCTAACTGTCACCAGGTTAAGATTGAACATCAAAAACTCGGTGGATTATTGCAGGCTATAGAGCTTCTGACTTGGAAGTGGGAAGTAATCAAAATGGATTTCATCGTAGGCTTACCTCGTACCCAACGAAAGTTCGATTCTATATGGGTGATTGTTGATAGACTTACAAAATCAGCCAATTTTCTGCCTGTTAGGACTATATATTCCGCAGAGGATTATGCAAGGCTCTACATTAAGGAGATAGTACGACTTCATGGTGTCCCTATATCTATTATCTCGGATAGAGGGGCTCAGTTTACAGCTAATTTCTGGAGGTCTTTCCAAAAAGGATTGGGGACTCAAGTAAGTCTTAGTACAACATTTCATCCCCAAACAGACGGGCAGGCTGAGCATACTATTCAGACACTTGAGGATATGTTACAGGCTTGTGTGATAGACTTCAAGGGTAGCTAGGATGATCATCTGCCGCTTATTGAGTTCGTGTATAATAATAGCTATCATTCCAGTATTCAGATGAATCCATACAAAGCTCTTTACGGACGGAAGTGTAGGTCGCCTATAGGATGGTTCTATGTTCGGGAAACTAAGTTAGTAGGACCAGAATTGGTACAACAGGTAATCGAGAAGATTAAGCTTATACAGGAAAGGCTATTAGCAGCTCAAAGCCGTCAGAAGTCCTATGCGGATAATCGACGATTAGACTTGGAGTTTCAGGTTGACGATTGGGTGTGCCTAAAGGTATCACTAATGAAAGGCGTTATGAGGTTTGGTAAGAAAGGAAAACTTAGCCCTCGGTACATTGGACCATATAAGATCATACGCAAGGTAGGCCAGGTAGCATATGAGTTAGACTTGCCTTCTGACTTGGAATCTGTACATCCAGTCTTTCATGTGTCTATGCTCTGTAAATGTATTGGAGATCCTTCCAGAGTTGTGTCAGTTGATGATGTTCAGGTCACAAAACAACTATCATCTAAGAAAACTCCCATTGCTATACTAGATAGACAGGTTCGTAGATTGAGGACTAAAGACGTAACTTCGATGAAGGTACTTTGGAGAAACAACAATGTGGAAGAAATGACTTGGGAAGCCGAAGAAGACATGAAGTCTAGATATCCTCACTTATTTCCTCTTCCAGAGAAGGATCCGACTGAGACATCACAGCCTTAAGGTACGTGTATGGATTCTTGTATTAGTTATTATCATTGGATGTGTGAGGCCATTGTCGTGAGTGATAATTACTATATGTGGCGTTGAATTATTGAGTTCTCTACATGAAGGATTGATAGTAGTACTGTTACAAAGGCGGATCTGCCAAAATTTATATAGATCCCGGGAAGCTAAACATTCAAGGATGAATGTTTCTATGGGGGGAGGATGTTACATCTCGCGATTTCGTACGTTAAAGTTTCGTCTTCAGATAATCGACGTAGATTCGGGGATGAGATTATCTTGAGGTTATAAACATTTATGCTATTTATAACAAGCCATAAGTAAGTGCCGTGAAGGTTAAAGGGTAAACGAATCAAAGAAAACGAGTTTCGTTGAAGGTTGTCAATTTGGGATATAATACGATACAAGCCATAATACCCGGTATTTATGGACTAGTGTCATACAAGGTACCCCATGACCATGATAGTAGGGTACATAAAATGTGTTAAGTGAGTAGTATTTTACGTAATTTGAGAAAAAATTTTAATCATGTGAATAATTGGTTAATTATTGATTAATGGGGGAACTAACAAATTAATTAAGGATTAGGGGGTGCTTAATTAAAGACTTTGGATAACTTAAACCCCCCCCCCCCCCAACCGTGGTAAGCATCCCCTTCCCATCTAATGACTCTTAATAAAGATTGAAAGGTGTCATATTTTAAGGAAGAAATGTGACACCAAGTCTTGAAAGGTGGGGCCCACACCACCAAGACTTAGAATACTTCTCTTATTCAAACTGAAGGTGTGTTACATCTAAGAAAGGCTTCAGCACAAGGAAACTTCATTAGCAACGTGAGTTGCTTAGCTCTCACTCAAAAGAGATTTAGTAATATTACAACAACATGAGATTTGCGAGTCTAAGGGAGTACGGTGTAATCTTCCTCAAGAATTTCATACGGATTTTTCTCTACTCCAATCTTGTCGTCACGTGTTTTGTCGCAATTAACGTGTGTTAGAGGGATTGTCAAGAGAATCGACTCAGCTATGTTAAGGCTATCCCTTCTTTCTTTTTGGCATGATCCATACGATACAAACGAAATGAGCAAATGCACAACTTTTATAAATGACTCTATTCATAGAAATATTAGAGGTGCCTATGTTCTTGAATTCCCATGTATCTTATTATCACATCTTCTGTTCATGGGTCTAAAAAAAATACGTAGTTGATAAAGTTTATCCAAAAGATATAATGATCTTTTTAACATATTTTTATGCATTTCATTCATTTATACATGTACATTGACCCAAGACCAAATGGCATTATATATGCGTATATATATGTACTTATATGTACATGGGATATGGAAAAAGGTTACGGCGTTTTATACGCACCACCACCTGATCAGCTGGTATATGTTGATGATTTTGCCCATAGTGGCCGAAATGATATGATGGGATGCCCTCAGAGGCTTGATGATGTTATGAACACCTATACCTATGCATGACACGACATTTATACGCACGTGCATGACATTATAAATGTTTCAGGATTTACAAAGTTATTTAGACTTACATGCGGAATTCTTTATTCCATGTTTCATCTATGTCTTTTATGTACTGATTTTCATGCCTTACATACTCAGTACATTATTCGTATTGACGCCCTATTTCCCGGGGCCTGTGTTTCATGCCCGCAGGTGCAGGTAGACAAGCTGATGGTCCCCCTTCTTAGGATCTTGGTCAGCGAGAATTGGTGTGCTTTACTAGATCCGGGGCTGCTTTGCATTTTGGTACGATATGTTTGTATACATATATGGGTATACGGGGCCTAGTCACGTCCTAGTACAGTTGTATATTCTGTTAGAGGTCTCTAGACAGTCATGTATAGTTGGGTAGTATGTTGCCTTGTCGGCTTCCAGTTTTGGATATATAGTTGTCTGTAGCAGCCTTGTCGGCTCGCCCTACGTATTTCGCACGTGTAGGTATATATGTCTTTTGGGCAGGTTTTCCTCACGCATGTTATTCTCGTAATTCAGCAGATGTTATTCATGTTTATATCTTAGTCGCATGCTTAAGGGTGTTCGACATGTAGGACTCGGGCACCCGTCGCGGCCCATCGGTTTGGGTCGTCACATTTTTGTACAAACTTTTTGGAATCCAGCCCCTTCAATATTGGCGGTGCCCCCGGGATTCGATCGACCCTGGAGTTGTAAGTTACAACCTTCTTGTCGTTCATCTCGATCTTCTCTTCCCCTGACTCAATTCGTTTTGTCAGCTCTTCGAGTATCTTCATGATTGCAGGATTGGTCGCCGATTCATTCTCGTTTGATTTCCTTGAAACCGATTCGACCCTGTGTACAACTTCCTGAGACGGCTTGAGCTCGACGTTACTCGGTGGATGATTCTGGTTTTGGAGCTGGGCTATCGCTGCCTGCTGAGCCTGCAACATTTCGAAGATCATCCGTAGGCTGACCCTGCCATCTTCGCCGCCATGTGCGCTTTGAGCGGCTTGTCAAACATCCCCATGAATGCTACTTTCAGGATCGACGGCCAAACTTACGTTGATGGCTACATGTGAGCTGATATTGATTAGATCTACAGCCGGAACTCCATAGAGGCCAACCGGGGGTACTCCGTTGTAGTGCTATGTTTTCATTTTTACCTTGGTGGCCAGAATCATTGTCAACGTGTGTGACGACCCAACCCGTCGTCTCATGTATTACAGCCCTGTTTCCCCCATTTATTGCTCTTTCATGTTTTATTATCAGCAACGGGTGAGTTAGAGTTGAATTGAATTGGTTTGGATAGGAAATGAGACACTTAGTCTCTTTAAGGAAGGTTTGGCTTGGAAAAGTCAACCGAACGTTGACTTATTAGTTAGAAGGCTCGGATGTATTTCCAGTGATTCAGTTAGCTTCGAGAGGTGATTTGTGACTTAGGAGTGCGATCGGAAGTGATTTTGGAGGTCCGGAGTAGAATTAGGCTTGAATTGGCAAGTTGGCATTATGGCGAATTTCGGTGGATAGGTGAGATTTTGATCCGGGGGTCGGATTGGAATTCCGAGAGTTGCAGTAGCTTCGCTAGGTGATTTTGGATGTGCGGGTAAAATTTCAGGTCATTTGGACGTCGTTTGATTGGGTTTTTGATCGAATGCGTAATTCGGAAGTTTTTAAGAAACTTAGGCTTGAATTCGATGTGATTTGATGGTTTTAGCGTTGTTTGATGTGTTTTAAGGATGAGAACAAGTTTGAATGAAGTTTTAGGATGTATTGGTATTTTTGGTTGAGGTCCCGGGGGCCTCGGGGTGAATTCGGGTGGTTGAACGAGAGGTTTTGAAGTGTGTTGCAGGTATGTTGCTGCTGTCATCTGGTATTTCCGCTTCTGCGGAAATGGACCGCAGAAGCGGTACCGCAGAAGCGGGTGAGCGAGCGCAGAAGCGGTCCTTGAGGGCTTGGCAATTTCCGCAGAAGCGGACGTGGATCCGCAAATGCGGCGACCGCAGAAGCGGTTCTAGACCGCATAAGCGGTCCGGAGAAATTTAAGTGAGATCGCAGAAGCGATTGTTTGGTCGCATATGCGGTGACCGCAGGTGCGGCATGATAACCGCAGAAGCGGAAAACGGTCTGGGTTTAAGTGAACAGTGTTTTCACGATTTTGAAAGAGAAGAAAAATATTTTGGACTTCGGCTTAGGCGGTTTCTTGGGCGATTTTGAAGAGAATTCGAAGGGACTTCATCAGGTATGAACTATTGGACTCGGATTATGTTTATATAGTGAAAAATCATGGATTGAACACTGAAATTTAAGGGATTAAATGCCAAAAATGGAGGTTAGGGCTTGAAACTTAAGAGAGCTTAAATTGATGATTTGAGGGGTCAAATGGACTCTGATTTTGGTGAATTTTATATGTATGGACTCGTGGCGAGACGAGGAATCCGGTGATGTAAATCTCGTAATTTTTCGAGAAGTGGGCCCGGGGCTCGGGTTTTGCCAACTTCGTAAATTTTGGTGTTTTTCGAGTCTTTTCGATTGGGTTATGTTTATTTAGCCTATTGTTATGTATTGGTTGTGGTTTTAATCAGATCCGGCGTGTGAAGAGGCTGATTCGAAAGGCAAAGGCATAGCGAGCTAGACTTGTGGCCAGCTTGAGGTGAGTAATAGATGTAGATGATGACCTGAGGGTTTGAAACCCCGGTATATCACATTGTGACGCTATATTGAGGCGACACACGTACTCTATGACGAGTGCGGGGTCGATTGTGACTGGGGATTGTGACCTAGTCCGTTCCGATTGATGTTCGTACTGTGTTCTTGACTAGAAATTGTTTGGTAATCATCCTACTTGGATTTTTATGAATTTGTTTGGGGCTTTGTGCCTATCATGTGCATCCTTCAGGGATCCTTATCACTGTTTCCATGATGCTTAGCATATTTCATGATATCAGTCATGAGCTAGACACTGCCTCGAAATGATTAGTAAAAAAATAAAGGTTTATACACTTAGCTCTATAATTCCTAATAATTGAAACAAAAAAAATGAATAATTTGACTGTGCCCGAGTGGCTTGCATGCTTATATATATCTGGACTGAGTGTAGATCGGGCTGCACGCCGCAGCGAATGTTACGATGATATTGCGCTTGGGCTGTAGGAGCCCCTCCGGAGTCTGAACCCTCACAGTGAGCGCGGGTACCCAAATGGATCGGGCTGCGCGCCGCAGCTGTCATGTGCATTGCATTGCATTCATGCATTTATACCTGTTTGTCTTATTTGTCCTGGTATTGTTGTTGTTCCACCTTTTTATGTGCTGAATCGCTGATTATAGCTTTATATTGTGATATTTCGGAATTTCTTACTTTCAGCCATTATATATATTTATTACTCACTGAGTTGGAAGTACTCACTTTACTCCCTGCACCATGTGTGCAGATTCAGGTGCCTCGGAGACTTAGTGGAGCTGTTCGCTATTTTCGTGAAGTTTATTTCAGGAGTTGTTGAGGTAGCTGCCTGACGTCCGCAGGACCCAACTCCTCCCCTTTATTTTATTTGTCTTTCCATATCCTAGACTTCTTTATTATTATGGATATATTACTCTGTTACACCTAGAGGCTCTAGACTCGTGACTCCAGATCTATTGGGAAATGTTTGGAATATTCGTTATTATTTTTCGTACTATTTTATTTAGATTCGGATTGGAACCTTGACATTTGCCATCTTAATCGTATTATTTGTTAACGGATTACGTATTTGGGTTGAGAGTATTTAATTGGTCGGGCTTGCCTAGCATCAGTGTTGGGCGCCATCACGACCAGAATTGGGGTCGTGACAAGTTGGTATCAGAGCCTAGGTTACTAGGCCTCGCGAGTCATGAGCCGATTTAGTAGAGTCTCGCGGAACGGTACGGGGACGCCTGTACTTCTCCTCGAGAGGCTACAGAACCTTTAGGAAAACTCCATAGGCGAGAACTAAATCTCTGTATTCTATTCTCTCGCAGATGGCGAGAACTCGTGCTACCGGACGCGATGGTCGACCACCAGTACCACCCACTAGAGGCCGTGGACGCGGTCGTGGTCGTGGTCGAGGTAGGGCAGCAGAGACAGCACCTGCTGACCCACCAGCTGCCACAGTTCAGGACCAGACTCCAGCTGTCGATGTCCCAGCAGCACCTGTGCAGGCACCAGCAGTGCCTATGGCTATTCCTGGTCTCCAGGAGACCTTGGCACAGATACTATCAGTTTGCACTGGCATGGCTCAGGCAGTCTCAGCTTCTGCTGCAGCAGCTGCTTTCCAGACCGGGGGAGGACATCAGACCCCTGTTGCTCACACACCTGAGCAGGCTGCCCAGGGATTTCAGTCACCGGAAGCAGCCATAGTTCCTCCAGTTGTTCCGGTTCCTCCAGTTGTTCCAGTTGCACCAGCTCCAGCCTATGAGGTTCCAGCTATGCCGGACGATGAGCAGCGTCGTCTTGAGAGATTCGGTAGGCTTCAGCCTCCGATGTTCAGCGGTGCTGAGGGCGAGGATGCCCAGGGTTTTCTGGATAAGTGTCAGCATATGCTTCGGACTGCAGGGATCTTAGAGTCGAGTGGTGTGGCTTTTACTACTTTCCAGTTCTTAGGGTCTGCATTCACCTGGTGGGAGGACTTCGAGAGGCGTAGGCCGGTTGGTGCAGCGCCCCTTACATGGTAGCAGTTCTCCACTCTCTTTATGGAGAAGTACGTACCGCAGTCTCACAGGGAGGAGCTGCGCTGTGAGTTCGAGTGGTTGGTTCAGGGGGACATGTTTGTGACCCAGTACGAGTTGAGATTCACGCAGCTAGCTCGGCATGCCACTTGGATGATCCCGACAGATCGGGAAAAGATTAGGAGGTTCATGTATGGCCTCAACTATTCACTCCGCATTTTGATGACCAGAGAGAGGGTTATGGGTGCCTCGTTTGAGGAGGTAGTTGACATGGCTCGAGAGATTGAGACGGTTCGCCGTGGGGAGCGTGAGGAGAGAGAGGCAAAGAGGCCTCGAGGTTCAGGTAGTTTCAGTGGTGCTCCGGCCAGTTCCAGCGTGGCAGAGGTCGTTCCTTCAGGCCTCCTCAGTCAGGTCGTCCAGAGCACAGTGGGGCTTCCTCAGGCCGTGGTCATCAGGGATTTCAGCAGGGCCAGACTTCACTTAGTGCCCTTCCAGCTCAGAGCTCTACACCTGCCTCTTCAGCCCAGGGTTCTTCAGCAGCGAGGGGTTTCCATCAGTCCCCTTCTCCAGCGCCGGGTAGTTGCTACGAGTGCGGTGAGTTCGATCATATGAGGAGACAGTGTCCTCGGCGTCGTGGTAGTCAGTCTCAGCAGAGGGATCAGCCCTCATCTTCTGCTCCTGTTTCATCAGCACCCGCCCAGTCAGCTAGGGGTGGAGGCCAGGTAGCCAGGGGCCGCCCCAGGGGTGGAGGCCGGACTGGCGGTGGTCAGGCTCGATTCTATGCTCTTCCAGACAGGAAGGACGCCGTTGCCTCAGATGCTGTTATCACAGGTATTATCTTAGTCTGCCACAGAGATGCCTCTGTCTTATTTGATCCCGGATCTACCTATTCCTATGTATCTTCATATTTTGCTTATCACCTGGGTACTACCCGAGGTTGTCTTGCTTTGCCTGTGCACGTGTCTACCCCGGTGGGTGATACTATCATTGTAGATCATGTATACCGATCCTGTTTAGTGACTATTGGGGGTCTGGAGACCCGAGTTGACTTACTGTTGTTGAGCATGGTTGATTTTGATGTTATTCTGGGTATCGATTGGTTATCTCCATACCATGCTATTTTGGACTGTCATGCTAAGACAGTTACGTTGGCTATTCTGGGTATTCCGAGGATTGAGTGTCGTGGTACGACTGATTATG